CAACATTGTATTTAAATTTTTGAAGTTCAAAGTTGACTGGCAAGTTGAAAGAGAGTTCCTTATGCAAGAGAAGAAACTTTTTTTATTTCTTGGTCCCTTTTTTCTTGCCAATCTAATCTTACATATATCAAGTAGATAGTGATTGATATTGCATTTAAATTTTTGAAGTTCAAAGTTGACTGGCAAGTTGGAAGAGAGTTCCTTATGCAAGAGAAGAAACTTTTTTATTTCTTGGTCCCTTTTTTCTTGCCAATCTAATCTTACATATATCAAGTAGATAGTGATTGATATTGCATTTAATTTTTTTGAAGTTCAAAGTTGACTGGCAAGTTGGAAGAGAGTTCCTTATGCAAGAGAAGAAACTTTTTTATTTCTTGGTCCCTTTTTCTTGCCAATCTAATCTTACATATATCAAGTAGATAGTGATTGATATTGCATTTAAATTTTTGAAAGTCAAAGTTGACTGGGAAGCCAGAAGGAAGTTCCACATGTGAGAAGTGCGATAGAAGAAACTGTTAGCATATAACTTGCAGTTAAATCTAACCATTTCAACTGTCAAATGATGAGACCTAGTTGCCAATCTAGTACTGCACTTAAATTCATAAAGTCTAGCTACCATAACAGAGTTTATCCGAACAATTATCATGAAAGTATTTATAGAAAATGCACGGGGAAGCAGTGAAAAAGTGATTGATGCCAGGCTAGGACCAATAATATTGCTGATTCTTCTTTGGATTTTATTAAGAATCTTTAAATATATAGCAAGAGCACCGAACCATATGTGGCAGCAATAGTGAAAGCATGGGCGAATGGTAGACTTATAAATATGTTAGATAGATTCTGGAGAGAAAGATTGTCTAGCACCACACAGTGAACCAATTTTCTTAGCAGCATCTATATTTTAAATAGTGTGTTTTGAAAAACCTACAGTAACAATGCTGTGATAATGCCCACAGTACTAACAGGGTTAAAGGAAATCAATCCGTTATGTGCTATGCATGATACATACTTAGGCGATCATGTATCTTTTGATACATGACTGACTAGGCAGATTTTTTTTTCCCCACAGTAGGTTGCCACTTCTTTCTGCAGTAGACCAGTTGCCATCCAAGACTATAGAACTCGGTCTGTCCTGCTATTTACTCATAGCTGGGAAGAGAAGATTCATACCTTTCCAAAGGGTATTAGCACGTAAGTGAATATCAGTTCAGTTACATGCCATGCGTGATACACGCTTAGGCAATCATGCATCTTTTGATACATGACTCACAAGGCAGATTATTTTTTCCCCGCAGTAGGCTGCTATTTCTTTCTGCAGTAGACCAGTTGCCATCCAAGGCTACAGAACCCGGTCTGTCCTGCTATTTATGCATAGCTGGGGGGGGGAAGAGGATTCATACCTTTCCCAAATGAATGTAATGGATTCAACTGGAATTCGAACTCTGCTCTCCAATTCCTCAATCCGAGCCACTATCCATTACTCCACAGATTTTATATTGGAAATATTAATCTTCCAATAAAAGATGTTATTGTCCATCAAGAACTGTTTCTGGAGTAGGAAAAGATCATTTATCAAAATGATTTCCAATTATGCAATTAATCGCCAAAATAGTTTAGTATTTTTATTCCTCTAAGCATACAACGGAGTTCACACTCAGCTTCCCACTGACTGGCAAATGGCTACTCCACATTGCATCTCCATCTTTGTTTACATCAATGTGTATCAAAAACTGGGAAAGGTCCGCTATAAGGTCAAAATAAACACCAGGGCAAGAAATGAGCACTGCAAACCTTGTTTCCAATATATTGAGATGTTTTTATTCAGGACTTTGCTTGCTCAGTCTAGGTGGGTGGGTAGATAGGGGACACTTGGGACAACTTCTATCATAGCACATCTTCTCTTCGACTCTTTCTCCTGGCAATACTGGAACTACCTGCTAGACCCTCCTGCAAGGAAAGGCCAAAAATGATCTCTTCAATCCAGTATCTGTCTATATTTCTGAGATGAGGTATTATCTACACTATTTACATTATTCGGACTATTGTCCTCATCTTTGTTGCCATATTAATCCGATCCTTCAATATCTGTCTATATTTCTGAGATGAGGTATTATGTACACTATTTACATTATTCGGACTATTGTCCTCATCTTTGTCGCCATATTTATTACAATGTTTCGGCCTTTCAGTATCTGTCTATATTTCTGAGATGAGGTAATATGTACGCTATTTACATTATTCGGACTACTGTCCTCATCTTTGTCGCCATATTTATTACAACATTTCAGCCATTGTATGCTCTGGCCTTCTTTAGTATCTGTCTATATTTCTGAGATGAGGTATTATGTACACTATTTACATTATTCGGACTATTGTCCTCATCTTTGTAACAACATTTCGGCTGGGTATTGAAGGCAGTGGAGAACTTGGAGAGGGGAATTAAGAGGAGATAACTGACATCCATTAAACATGGCACGTGGAACTAGAACAGTCTACCCCAGTGAGCAAAATAAAGTGTTCAGTTCGACATTCCAACCACCTGAAGAAGGCCAGAGCATACAACGTTTGAAACGTTGTAATAAATATGGCGTTAAAGATGAGGACAATAGTTCGAATAATGTAAATAGTGTACATAATACCTCATCTCAGAAATATAGACAGATACTGAAGGGCTGAAACGTTGTAATAAATATGACGATAAAGATGAGGACAATAGTCCGAATAATGTAAATAGTGTACATAATACCTCATCTCAGAAATATAGACAGATACTGAAGGGCTGAAACGTTGTAATAAATATGACGATAAAGATGAGGACAATAGTCCGAATAATGTAAATAGTGTACTCTTCAATCCAGTCTGTGACCAGAAATCACCAACATCCGACTTTGTTGTCACTTGACCCCCAAAAGCTTTCTTTTTATTTATTCATTTGTTTGTTCCCATTTGTTCAAGTGGATGCCACTTAGGGGACCAGATTTCAAAGAATTTTTCTGCTGGTTGTGAAACCTGAAGCACTTAAGATTGAGACAAAATCATATATTCCCCCAACTCCATTTGGGTGTCCCACTTCATAGTACCACCTTACTCAGTGAATAGATAACAAAAACGAAAAAGAAAGACAGACATCCTAATCCTAACTATTTTGCTGTAGGGTATTTGTTAATTATCGCATCCACTATTTCATAACAAAAGATAGCATTTAAATATTTAATATCAAATTACTTGGTGATGGATTTGTATAATCAAGAATATGTTCCATTCATATATATATATTATTTTTAGTTGATACCCATGTTTGAAATTAATGCCCTGTTTTTATTTTTATTTTTTAATCCGTGCATACTGTCTCCCACTTAAAACTTAATAAAAAAAAAAAAATTTTTTTATAATGTGCTCTCTGGCAATATTTGATAATAACATTAAAAATGTTGGATTTAAAAGCCATTCATTCTTTAGGAATTGATTTGTTTCAGTTTTGGATATGAAATCAGATATGGGCTTTTGATAAAATCTGAACGGGGGATTGTTCATTCAACAAAAGGGTAAATAGAAGTTTGCTGGACTCTGAAATGCGTGTGTGTCATCAAATCTGGCTCAATTGCTCCCCACATGGAAAATGACTGCCAAGCAAAATGCAGCCTTACTTATATAGGGAAATCTTTTCCCAGTAACAATGATTAATGACTTTACGTAGCCAGGCCCCAGAAAATGATGGTTGACAATACTCATTATCCCCAGAAAGAAAATGGCATAAACTAAGATAACGGCTTTTGAACAAAAGTCACAAAATTTTCTTTCGTCCCAACCAAGCGATGCCAGCTGAGCAGGAAAAGAGTTAACAATACTGACACACACCACACATTTCTTCAATAGATTAAGGTGTTGGTTAGATCCAGTGACAGGACCCAAAGAGTGTGACTTCAATACCCGGTTAAGGCAGTGGAGAACTTTCAGAGGGAAAATTAACAGGAGATAACTGATAACTGACATCCATCAAACATGGCACGTGGAACTAGGACAGTCTACCCCAGTGAGCAAAATAAAGGGTTCAGTTCGACATTCCAACCACCTGAAGAAGGTCGGAGCATACAACGACTGAAACGTTGTGATAAATATGGCGACAAAGATGAGGACAATAGTCTGAATAATGTACATAATACCTCATCTCAGAAATATAGACAGACTATGTACAAGTGTATCTGCTTATTTAAGTAATGCCTAAAATTGAATATAATTCAACGTGTAATCAAATCAATTAAACCACTTTTCCACTTTATCAAATTATTACACATCTTGTTAACTTGGAAACACAATGACAAACTTAATTAGAAAATAGAAGAATCTTTTACTTTCAACCAATTCTGAAAAAATCGGATACGGATTTACCTTAAATTCACTGCCGAAAAACTGGGAGAATGTAATAGCAGATTTCGATAAAGCAAGAAAACAAATTAAAATAACAGCTTTTCTACAAAAGTCAAACAATTTTGTTCTTTCATCCCGATCAAGGGACATCAGATCAGCGGGAAAAGTAACGATTTAATATCAAAGCAAACACACACACACACACACACATATATTTTCTTCGTTCGGATCTAAAGAAGCCTATCTAACAATAGCAAAACATAATTAAGTCAATAGAACAGTTTTCAAATTTATCAAACATTTTCTGGGTTCTATATCCTATTAATACACGTTTAAGTGGACCTGCTTATTTAAGTAGTGTCCAAAATTGAATATAATTCAATGTAAAATTGAAACTTTGTTTGAATCCACTTTCTCACTTTTCTTTTGAGCTCCCCACTCCAAAACTTCATTTTTCTATCTCCTTGGTTGAGAAGATGCTGCATGTTCGTTGTCATTTAGATTACAGGGTTTCTTATTCCATCTCCCCCCCACACACACACACTTTAAAACTGTGAGAATAATCTTAAAAGCAGTGTCTCTTTGCCTCTTTCTTGCTGTATTGTAACACTTTCTCTTTTTTTCTCTTCTAGTGTCCAGTCAGCGTTGGGATAGCCACATCCATGATGGTTATAAACGGATAGTTAAGGGGTCAGACAATTACAAGATGACCTGGGACGGCTCAAAGAATTCTCGAATAGCAGACGAACTGGAAAAGAGCTGCAATCGGGCATATGGTGGACAGAGTAAGTATTTATTTCGATTTGGCATCAGGAAAGACATCTGGCTGTAAAATATATAGAAAGATCACCAGTTTAACCCTTTAGCATTCAACTGGCTCCATGAGTATCAGCTGAATGTTTAACCAGCCGTAACCTGCCCCACGTATACTCTACAATAATATGACAACAACATTGCAAATAACACAAGAAGTCATGTAAACATTGAGACTTTGACCACAAACAGTGAGACTTTGAAAGCCGATATTTACTGGGCGGGTTTGAGCATGTTGAATGCTAAAGGGTTAATATCCCACCCTGTAAATATCAGTTCAGTGTTCAACCTGCAATAACCCATCCCGTAAATATCAGCTCAGTGTTCAACTTGCTATAACCTGCCCCATGCATACCCTGCTATAATATATGACATCATTACAAATAATGCCGGACGTCATGTAAATAGTAAGACTTTGAGAGCCAATATTTACTGGGCATGTCTGAGCGTGCTGCATGCTAAAGGGTTAATATATTGAGACCATTTTTTTTTTTGTTTCCTTGTCTGGATTAAAGCATTCTTTTTTGAATTTGGTAGCATAGTAATTGTGAGTTCAGTCCATGTTTCACATATTATATGTAGTTGTTTTATTCAGGGCATTGCCTGCTCTTCTGTGTGGGTAGGAAAGTGATACCTGGGACAACTTCTTCTATGTCAGTTTTCACCCATCTCAATGTGGTGGCTGACAATGTGAAACTGAGGCTTTAGAACTGTAATATGGACTAGTCCATCTCCTGCCAAAGGTGGACCAGAACTCTCCTCAATCTCAAGTGAATATAGGCCTACAGACAGATATAACCTGTTTCTAGTTTTATTGCCATTTGATTTTCAAAAATCCCACATCCACTCTTTGGTTAAAGTGGATGCCACTTAGAAGACCAAACTTCAAAAGGAACCCCACTTTTGCTGGTCTAACAAAAGAAAAACACTTGATATTGAGATAAAACCACTTCTTCCCTTTCTACGTGGGTTTCCATAGTATCATAGAAATAGGGTAACTGAGCAGAACTAAATAAGAAGAAAACAATATAACCTTCGACATGAACAGTGGGATGAGAAAAATCTTCGCCCAGATAGGAAATAAAGAATACATTTCTAAATTCCCTGAAGTTTACCAAGATACTTGAGGAAGGCCAGAGGGCACAACGACCGAAACATTTTGATGACAACAAAGATGAGGATGTTACTCTGAATGTATATAATTATCTTATTTTTTTATTGGTCTTGTGTCAATGTTTGGCCATGATACACTTTGGTTATCTTATAACATAATTAGTATGTAATCTATGCTTGAATCTTCAACACTATATAGGAACCACTGATCAGGAAAGAAATGCTTGAATTGGAGTTTAGTTTTTTGAAATGCAAGGCAAAAGAACCCCCCCTTCCCCAAAGACTGAAGTGAACGAAATGCAAAGAAAGCAACAAAAGACTAGAATTATTCTGAACAGCAAAATGACGAGTAGAATGTCTTGTCTAAAAACATTCAGACAAAAAAAAAACTAATTTTTGTTGACAATGAAACTATAGTAAAAAAATACTTTCACTCATACAAGATTTAGAATTTGGGCCTGCAGAATCAGAAAGCTAGTTACAATTATGAGGGATCAGTGTCTTGGATACAGTGGTTCAGACTGTGGTCAACACTACCAAATAAACAATTCATGAGTTTTACTTAATGTGACTTTTTTTTTTTCTCACCCTAAAATCACTGGTTCTTGTTTTCTTTAAACCTACCTGCCTCGCTCACTTTGATCCCCTTGCTGGCACTTGTGGCCTTTACCTTCTTCCCCCATCCTCTCGCCGGCTCTCGCACCCTTCCCCCCCCCCGCTCGCCCCTTCTCCTCACTTCTGAAGATGGGGATAAACATCCTGCTTGAAATGTTTTACTGCATTCACTTTTGACAGTTTATTAAAAATTTCTATAGATTTTGTGTGCATACCAAACAATAAATCCTTGAATGTCCAATGAAAATAAAAAGAATTGGAAATTTATTTGCCTGTTTTTATTTTCTAATATTTAGACAGGTTTTGTTTTGTTTTTTTTACCTTTTGTTATTTTGTTATTGATTATTTTTGTAATGATTTGCTGTTTGATAATTTTTTTTTTTTTTTTTTTTTTTTTTTTTTTTTATTTTAATTTTTTGTTTTTAATATTTTGAATTTGATATTTCTTTTTTAAGCTGTTTTTTAATATTTTTGCTATTTTTTGCATTTAAGTTTTTCATTTTCTTTTTTACTTTTTCTTTTTTTCTTTCTTTTCCTTTTTTTCTTTCTTTTCCTTTTTTCTTTCTTTTCCTTTTTTCTTTCTTTTCCTTTTCTCTTTCTCTTTCTCCTTTTTCTCTTTCTCTTTCTCCTTTTTCTCTTTCTCTTTCTCCTTTTTCTCTTTCTCTTTTTCTCCTTTTCTTTTTTTTTCTTTTTTTTCTCTTTTCTTTTCTCCTTTTCTTTCTCTTTCTCCTTTTTCTTTCTCTTTCTCCTTTCTCTTTCTCTTTCTCTTTCTCTTTCTCCTTTTTCTTTCTCTTTCTCCTTTTTCTTTCTCTTTCTCCTTTTTTCTTTCTCTTTCTCTTTCTCTTTCTCCTTTTTCTTTCTCTTTCTTTTCTTTTTTTCTTTCTCTTTCTCCTTTTTCTTTCCTTTTTCTGTTTTAAATGTTAATTCCACTATCCATTGTTATTAATGTAATCTTATGTTCTCTATTGCAGTGATGTCATGGGATGGTGGCAAATCTGTGTTAAGTCAGGACATGGAGCACGAACGAAACAGAAACAAAAGATATTGCAGCCAAGATTACAATGATGATTATGACCGTGGAAAAGTAAATCATTTTCTATAAATTTTCTTATGACATCCGACAATAAATTATAAGGGTGTATAGAAAGCATTTTCATTTTTAAACAAATGTTTATTATTATTATTATTATTATATTCTTTGAGTATCTCTCTCTCATATGTTGAGTATCTCTCTCTCATATATGTTGAGTATCTCTCTCTCATATATGTTGAGTATCTCTCTCTATTTATATGTTGATATCTCTCTCTCATATATGTTGAGTATCTCTCTCTCATATATGTTGAGTATCTCTCTCTCATATATGTTGAGTATCTCTCTCTCTCATATATGTTGAAGTATCTCTCTCTCATATATGTTGAGTATCTCTCTCATATATGTTGAGTATATGTTATCTCATATATATGTTGAGTATCTCTCTCATATATGTTGAGTATCTCTCTCATATATGTTGAGTATCTCTCTCTCATATATGTTGAGTATCTCTCTCTCATATATGTTGAGTATCTCTCTCTCATATATGTTGAGTATCTCTCTCTCATATATGTTGAGTATCTCTCTCTCATATATGTTGAGTATCTCTCTCTCATATATGTTGAGTATCTCTCTCTCAAATATGTTGTATCTCTCTCTCATATATGTTGATATCTCTCTCTCATATATGTTGTATCTCTCTCTCATTATGTATCTCTCTCTCATATATGTTGAGTATCTCTCTCTCATATATGTTGAGTATCTCTCTCTCATATATGTTGAGTATCTCTCTCTCTCATATGTTGAGTATCTCTCTCTCATATGTTGTAGGCACTGAAACCAAACAGTATTAGCAATGTCTTTTCTGTCTTTTGTCACTATCAAATGAAATAGTCCATTATTTCTGACTTATTGGCCAGGTGTAATGTACATGCTAACAACTACAATTATAATATCGTTATATAATATTTTACCATTTCACTGAAGCAGACATTAATTGCATGAGAGCATTATTTCCTCCTTTTTCTTCACACCCTTCTTTTTCACACTGAAACAAAACAGCATCCTTTCGGTGTTTCCTGAAAAAGATGCTGTTTCGTTTCAATGTGAAATAATCAAAACGGAATAGTCCATTATTTATGAGATATTGACAAAGCATAACACACTTTTATTTATATATATATATATATATATATATATATATATAAATTCATATATTCTTCCCTATGTGCATTTGGGCACTCATGTCTCTAAACTATTCATGATTGACTTGGCAGAACAATTCCTGCAATAGGTTGTCATCACTTGCTGCAGTAGACTGGTTATCAAGTCTTTCCCCAATGATATTTGCACATAAAGAATTATCCATTACAGCACTCACACATCCAAGTTTACAGTACATGGTATTACCAAGCAGTCACCCATGTAGGTACTGACCAGGTTCAATGTGTCTTAACTTTGGTTTTCAAGCAAAACTGGTGTTTGCATTGTTGCTGCTCTTAATAAATATAATAAAAAATAATAATATTGAATAAATTGATAATGATGAAAATGATAAAAGTAATAATGAAAATGATAATGAAAATAATAAAAATAATAATGATGATAATGAAAAAATAATGATAATGATAAAAATGATAATGAAAATAATAATAATAATAGAAATAATAGAAATAATGAAAAAAAAGAAAGAAAAAGCTGTGTATGAGAAACCTGGTCTCATTTTCTAGTAAAATAAGATTCAATTTGAAAAAGGACCTTATTACATAGTGTGATATTGATAAAAATATAGTCACGTATATGTTAACCTTTTTTTTTCTTTCTCAGGCGAAGAAAATCAAGAAACCGCGTTTGGACCACATGTATAATAACAGTGGAGTAAACAGCTTTCAACGACTGCATGATGACAGAAACAAAGACAAGGTAACAATCCAAAATAATTTTCTTTTTTTTCTTTCAAATCATAATCACTCCCAAGTTCTGTTTTCTTGCATTCATGCCAGCTTACACTTGAGACTAAGACTCGCTTTTTTAATGCAAAAGTCATTTACCTTGATTCTACACCTCATTATTACCACAAATTCAATTCATTTTTTTCCTTTCGCTGTCCGAGTTTCATTTTCTCCTTTCGCCGTCCGAGTTTCATTTTCTCCTTTCTCCTTTTCAGATCCTTCGAAGTTTCAGTTTTTTTTTCCTTTCATGACTCCGAGTTTCATTTTCTCCTTTAATCCGTTTCTTTTTTCTTGGAAAAAAATGAGAAAAGTTTCATTTTTTTTTTCGAAGTTTCATTTTCTCCTTTAATCGTCGAGTTTATTTTCTCCTTTGATGATCTGAAAATTTCATTTTCTCCTTATTTTTCGAGTTTTCATTTTCTCCTTTACAAATCAAAGTTTCATTTTCTTTTTAATGTCCGTCCGAGTTTCATTTTCTCCTTTTCGTAAATGCAATTTTCATTTTCTTAATAGAAAAAAGATTGGGTTTCATTTCTCCTTTTAAACATCTAAAAGTTTCATTTTTCTTTACTTAAAAATAAGTTTCATTTTTCCTTTACATGTCTTGAAGTTTTTATGTTTTTTTTTATCTTTCACCATTCGAATTTCATTTTTTTTTTTCCCTATGTTTGAGTTTTATTAAAATTCTAATTGTTGCTTTTTAAAACGGGATACATTGCCAAGTGAGTCAATAGTGCCTACAGTAATAACAATGATGATAATAATAAATAGTGCCTACAGTAATAACAAGAAATAACCACCCTTACACACAGACATTTTTACAAATTTATGAATTGTTGTGGAGTAAATAAGACAGCTCCAATAACACAAATGATCCAGGCAAGACACGTTAAATAAAGAACTAAAAGTGAGTCAGTAGAAGTCCATTGGAGTCAGTTGGAGAGAATTCTAATGTCGTCATGGCGAATAGACTAAGCAAGACCTAATATTATAACTGCTAAGAGTGAGTTATAACAAAATAAAAAAAATTTCTTTTCATATTATTTCTTTATAAAGTGTTAATTAATAAATATTCATATCATTATAATTGGTTCACATCTCTATCTATAAAAGGCAGGATGTGTGTGCAACGAATGCCCAGCTGCAATTTTCAACGAATTTGCACCAAAATTTATATGCACATGCTCCAAGTTAGCGAGAAGGCCAAGACCGACTTTGCATTTCCCATCGATAGTGGAAATAATCAATTTTTTCATGCTTCTACGGCAGTTTTCATGTAGTTTGCGGCCATTTTCTACTGGCCAGAGTGAGAGCCAATAGCTGGCTGTCACAAATAGGCAGGAAGATTCTATTGGCCAGTGTGAGAGCCAACAGCTGACTGATACAAATGTTAACTAGCATGCAAAAAAAATCGATAGCTTCATTTGTCACAAGTGGGAAAAATTTAAATCTGCATGGCACTTTACTCCAATTGGCTCATTCGCTTGCTTAACATTGATTCTGATTCTGCAGAACTGGGTTGGGTGTGAAAAAGTATTTGTTGTTAACATTCTTTTTTCATTCGGATTTTCCAGTTACGAGTCCTTTTTTTAAAGCTGATTGTTTTGTGTTCATTTTGTTTAGTTCTTTTTTCGTAACAGATTTAATGTTTAGTATAGAGTTTAGAAAAAATTTGCAGTGTGAGATAGGCAAGAATTAAGGCATGTAGCAACATCAGCATGGCAAGGAAGGGCAAAAATATTTTAAGTCAAGTGATAGTGATTGCTGCATGAGTCGTACGATTTTTGAATCAAGCACGGGCAACGCCGGGCCATGCTGCTAGTATTTTTCTAATCTTGTAAATATAAAATTATTCTTGTAAATAATAACATATAGTGTTTAACATCTTTGTTGTCATTCTCAAGAATAAAGAAAAAGTACAAAGCCACTTTCATACTTCTTAAAAATTCTAATCACTTTTTAAAACCATATTACCATGATAATAACCGTATTGATGCAGTTTTTTTGTAGGTGTGAACTTTAACCTTTATCATACTGTATGTGACTTCATTTGCTGTACAAAAAGTTTATCCTGATCCCTGTGTTTGAATTTCATAGTTGTGTTGTCATATCCTGCTGTGGCAACAGAAAACAACTTTGAGTGAAATTAACAATAAGGATACTGCAATTGAAAGGCCTTGAAAAAGAATGCAGTGAACAAGGAACTAATATTAATAATGCAGAGTACTAAAGGTTAAACATTACTATATATTTATTACCAATGTTATTTATGAAGTTTTTGTTTTCTTAATATTATTGTTTGAACCAACATGTCTCATATAGGAAGAGAAATTGAAAAAGTAATTTTAAAGCTAAAATGAATCTTATTGGGGAATAATCATGAAGCAAAAGAACCAAGGAATTTCTATTTTCTATCCATAAATACAAAAAAAAATAATCAAAAGTCAAAAAGTCAATGGTCTAAAATTTTGGGGGCCTTTGCTCTCTTTTTGTTTTGTTTTGTTTTTTTTTTTTTTATTTTTAAACATGTCTGGCAATCAATGAAGGATCAAGGATTCCATGAAAAAGTCGATGTTTGGAGACCCCCTTATCTCAGTGGTTCTTAATCTTACTTTCTCTTGGCTGCATTTTTGGAATGAAAATTTACTTGCACCCCTCTCAAGAAAAGTCCTGGGAAAATGTGCAGGCAGTCCTACAGCAAATAAGGTGCAGAGAGAGAGTTAAAGGGAGATAATTGCAGATTCAAAGTCAGAATATCATTGATGACTCTCTCCTCCATTTTGCAGACCCTAATTATTATATTCTTAATTCTTGATATAATGCAAAAATATCACAGTGATAAAATCGGTCAATAATTATTTTATAACTATTTATACTGGGAGTCATGCATGCAGTTACAAGTAATCCATAATAATATTTTAAATTTTGAAGTCATTCATAAAAAGTACATATTAAAAAGAGAGAGAGTTAAAGGGAGATAATCGCAGATTCAAAGTCAGAACATTATCATTGATGACTCTCTCCTTCAATTTGCAGACCCTAGTTACTATAATCTTAATACTTGATATAATGACAAAATATCACAATCATAAAATCAGTCAATAATTATATATAACTATTTATACCAGGACTCATGCATGTAACTACAAGTAATCTATAATAGCATTTTAAATTTTGAAATCATATTTAATTTTGGTATATAAATTTTTTGAAACTGTTTCTAAATCTTTGCCTTTCAATCATTCCTCTTCACCTGCTATCCTCTTCCGACTCACCTGCTATTTGAACGATGTTAGTAATTTTTCTAATCTTTATTTTTTTGTTTTTTCTTCAGTGGAGATATAACCAAAGAATGCCCGGATCTTCCTATGGACAGCATCCATATCATCGGTCTTACCAGCACTATGGCCATGGGCCTTCAATGAATCACATGGGACACTACAGTCACTACATGGGACGACATGCTTACCGCCACTAAAGGCAATTAGCCCCTCTTCTACCCTCTGCCGCCTTTCCCAAACATAGTATCTATCATGCACTCACTAAAAAGAGGACGATGAGGAGAAGAGAAAAAAAGAAGAAAAAAAATGTTAGCCTTTTGATGTTTCTCTTTTTGGTGCTTCATGACCCTTTAAGGTGTTGATGTACGAAGAAGCCCCATTCATTCATTCATTCAATCATTCATTCTTTCTTTCTTTCTTTGGCAGGAGTGACATATCCCCCTTCCCCTACCCCATCTTACAAAAAAAAAAATAAATAAAAAAAAAAAAAAAAAAAAAACTTTATTACCATGGTTGCTTATATAGTCAAACCGTTGCTAGTAAAGGCTTTTACTAGTAAAACATAAATATAAAGACATTTTTTTTTTTTTTTTTTTTTTTAAATTGTAAGCTACTCTTGGTTGGGAAATATATAAACGTAAAGAATTTTTTCTCTACATTTTCAGTCTCGTTTTATTATTTCAAAATAATTTATTTTAAATCATGTTCCACGACATTTGCTACCTTTTGTGCCTTTTCGTAAGCTATCTTTGAATGTAAATTAAATGCAACAGTCACGAAAAAGAAGATGGAGTGTTACATTTTATTTTAAAAAATAATGACAAATGTATTTTTAAATATATCCAGGATGACTTCAATTAATTCCCCAAAATAGGCATGAAGCAAATTACGGTTTACTAGGGGAGAATAATTTGCTCTTAGAAATACTGTAGGTTTAAAATTTTGACAGTACCTCCCTCTGTTCCGTTCTATTGCACACTTAAGACATCTCTCTTGATTTCTGATTAAATCAGTTTTCTGGGCCTAAAATGAATAAATTAGTCTTGAAATTCTGTCTTTTTTTTTTTTTTTTAAGATCCTGATAAAAAATAGTTTTCTCTTTATTGCATTGCCTTTAGTAGTAGCAATAATAATATTAAAAATATACATGGAACTTACAAGACTTTAACCTATTTTTCAAACCATCAATACTGTTAAAAAATGCTCAATAGATAACTAAAGCTATAATATTCAATAAATAAACCAAATTACAAGTGTCCTATCTGATTAACCAATTTAAGTCTTGCGTCAAATCACTCATCACAGCCAGATGTTTGCTAAATTTTTTGTGTTGAAACACACATCAGACTCTACAGAGCATTTCTCTTTCTTGTATTATCTTTCATAATAATAATTATGATAATAAAAAAACTAAAAAATTACAAGAATTTAACCAATTTTTCAGGCTAGCAGAACTGCCAAAAAGCACTCTACACATAACTAAACTATCTATTCAATAAACAAAATTATGTTCTATATGATTGACTGAATTAAGGTTTTTTTTGAAAAATGTCTGGCAGTCAATACAGGATCATTGGATTTCATGAAGGGGTCACTGTTACATCAGGCCCTGCTGAGCGTTTAGACTTGAAAGATTTATCGAACATCTGGTTCTGTTAAGTTTTATTTTGAGACGAAACTCTGAGTCTGTCAATCAGATGAATTAATTTAACTTTTGTTGATTTATTGAATATTGTATTATCTTTGTATAAACAGAGTTAACGTTTTATTATTCAACATTCTTTAGACGATATCAAGTCTTCCCTCTCCCCATTACGTAATGTCACTGAAGAGTGGTAGATCTGTATGAATCTTTTCGATTAACACAATCTCGGAAAAAAATTCTTATTTGCACCTAAAGTAACTTCTGGACCCAAAAAACAAATGGTAAATGACTCATGTAGATGTTAATGAGCCAGAAAATAGTTTTTATTTTAATTAGGAAATTTTAATTAGAAGATTATATTTTTTTTTAATTACAGTATTTTTTTCTTTTTTAATTAAGGAATTTTTTTTTTAATTTAAAGATTATATTTTCTAATCTGCTGTAAAGATTTTGCTTACTTTGTACATCTGAACGAAGCAAATTCTTAAATCTATTTTGAAACAAAAACTGGAATATTCGGTCTTATAATTGCTGCTTTTTATCCCAACACAAAAAACTCTTTGATCAATACAGAAAATTACACAGAATCAGGAATTGTCAGAAGTTATTTCTTTATATTTAATTTTTCACTTCTTGCTGCTAGCATTTGAAGAGTCTGTTTTTTTGGTTTTTTAATCAATTCACCGCAAGCAAGGCAATAATGTCACTAAGAGACAAAGAGCAACTGAGAATGAAAGAGAATGAAAAGACTTTCGAAGGAACCAGAAACCCAATTCCAAACAGGAAATAAGGGATAAACCTCTACTCTTGTTCCAAAATCAGGAAGGAGTGTGAACCGGGCGATAGGCAAACCTAGTTACTCCTACGGAGAATAAAAAAAAAAAAAAAAAATAGTAAATAAAATTTCAGAGTGCAGACAGAGATATTAGAATAGAAGTAGACTTCAAGTTTCATAAAAAGCAATAAGAATTTAAAATGAATTTCTTCAATGAAGAGTTAATTTACACTTTGACTACTGTCTTCATCTTTGTTGTTATTATCCCATACTGCCTTCTTTAAGTATCTGTTGATCAGTGGATGGGGGAGAACTTTCAGGAAATTTCGAACTGATGCCTTTATTTAATCTACAATGGTGACGTGTTCTCATTCTGCAGTTCATATCTAGGGATGTCTTGTGCTGTTACTGTTTGCCATGATTTTGCTGAAACAGGACTAATACTAAGCTGGACTAAAAAGGGGGCAAGATGAGACATTCCTAGATAGGGACCTTGAAATGACAATAATCTACCCCCCCCCCAGGGGGTCGTAAATTTGAAAGTTACCTTGGACAATAGACACCAGAAGAAAGCCAAAGGAAACTATGGCTGAAATATTGTGGTAGCAAAGATGAGGATATTAGTCCAAATGGAAATAAACTAGTAATAATAATAACAATAACAATGAAGAGTGTATTGAGCTAGAATGTTGGGACAAAAAGCAACAATAATAAGATGGTATAAAACTAATAATAAAATAATAATAATTAAGACTATAGAGCCAGAGGGTTGGGATAAAAAGCAACAATAAGATGGAATAAAACAATAGTAATAATGAAGAGTGTATAGAGCCAGTGTTTTGGGATAAAAAGCAACAAAAATAAGATGGGATAAAACTAGTAATAAAATAATAATAATAATAATAATGAAGAGTGTATAGAGCCAGAGTGTTGGGATAAAAAGCAACAATAATAAGATGGAATAAAACTAATAATAAAATAATAGTAATAATGAAGAGTGTATAGAGCCAGAGTGTTGGGATAAAAAGCAACAAAAATAAGATGGAATAAAACTATAAATAATTGTGAAAAAGAACTTGCTTTTTAAAAAAAGAAAAAAAAAAGGTAAATAAATAAATTAAAAAAAAAAAGAAAAAAATTCACTAAAACAAAACTGGTTATGCATTTCCCATCCATATCAATTCTACGTTTCTGTGCAATTGATTCAATCACATGAATTTGGTAATAAAATGTTGTCAATATTTGCTGCCGCTGCTGCTGAAATTTAAAAAAATTGTATTTGTTTCTCTATCTTATCAAAGCTATCATTACTTGATTTTTTTTTCTTCAGCAAAGTTTAAAAACATGCCTACCAAAAAAAATAGCATGTCAAAAGTACCATTTTTCTGTTTTTCTCTTGATACCCCCCCCTTTTACTGTATACTCTCTCAGCAATTGTTATCGTAAGCTATTTTTTTAAAATTTTAATAAAACCTGAACACATGAAACTGGATTTTTAAATGTTTTTCTCAAGAATTGACAACAAATGAATTAAACTCTGATTATTGTTTATTTATAAGAATAATTTTATATTCTCTCGTTAGCACTTTTCTGTTTTTTTAAGTTTAAATTTCTAATTTTACTTTATTTTCTTATTTATTTTATTAATTTTAATCACCGTATATTTCTACGTATAAGACGACCTTTAAATCCCAGAAATCACCCTTAAAAATTAGGGGTCATCTTGTATAACAATTCTAATAAAGGAACCCTAAATTCTGAGTGATATTTGTCACTAGGCTAACCTTGGCCTGATTATCAATAATGATTCACATTATCAAATAAACTGATTATAAAAGTAATAAAACCATTTCTACCTTATATATTTACTGGCATAACTTCATAATAAATTGCCTATTCAAAGAATAATTCCATATCAATGAAATCAACTTGTATCCATGCAAGCTCAGCTGAGAAAATGTAAGCATTTGCCTTTCACAGCAAACTTGTTATTTTTTGCTAAATTTTCACTGATCATCAAGCTAGTGTTAATTACAGCAGTAATAACGTTTATAACATCATATTCATTTCTCATTAAAAATTCATTATTTTGGTACTAAACAATAACATGATTTAGGATTACATACAACCTTTTGTCTTTCAAATAAAAATCCCCTTACAGTAGTTGCAAGAGATCACGCAATGAAACATAAAACAATGGTTTCCCTTTGGGGGGGGGGCATGTGCAGGGAAAATCTGATTTTGTTATTTCATTTATTTTGAATTTCTAAGGATACGGTAACATTTCAAATAATTTCATCTTTATATAATCAATAAGTAGTCATCCAGGTATAGGATAAATTCATGAAAATTTGCTTTTTTTCTTTTTTTACCTTTCGTCTTTGTCTTATCTAAAGGTCGCCATATACACGGAAATATACAGTATTTATTTTTTGCATATTAATTTTCAATAAAATTGTCAATGCTGACATTCAATGCCACCTATAAGCCAACTTGAATGGAATATTTATTATAAAGAAATAACTATGAAAACAATTTTTTTTATTCGTAAATTTATAAAAATGTCTAAGAACAAAACAATTTAAATAAACATTGTAATTATGAATTTTGAAAAATGAATTTTCCAAACAATACTTTTGTTTTCACAGGATAACTTCATTAAAATAGTTGAGAAAAAAAATGTATAAATCCAGTTCCTTGTATATTTTTTTTAAATAATAATTTCCAACAGGTAGCCATTTCAAGAGAAAGATAGTTCTTTTGACACCACAATGGGT